CTCCTTGAGGGTGCATACCACTTTAAAATGTTTGTACTCTGCCCACTTTTTTTTTTTTTTTTTTTGGTTTGGTTTTTCGAGACAGGGTTTCTCTGTGTAGCCCTGACTATCCCGGAACTCACTCTGTAGACCAGGCTAGTCTCGAACTCTCGAACTCAGAAATCCGCCTGCCTCTGCCTCCCAAGTGCTGGGATTAAAGGCGTGCGCCACCACCGCCCGGCTACTCTGCCCACTCTTGTCTCCACAGTAAAACTTGAAGCCTTCTGCATCTATGTCTGAACTGCATACAATAAGTTGGAGAAATGACTGGGTATGTGATCTGCTTTGACTACAGACACCTTTATAGCAACAGATAGAACAGTGGTCGTCTGTGCTGGACATAGGCAGCCCGTTAGCTGTTCTTAATCAGTGCCTTCTTGGGTTGCTTCTTGATCTCCTTTTCAATGTCTGAGAATCAGGGGCATTAACTCAGGACAGAAGATTTAGAGGACCCTGAGAGACAGACATGCTTGAATGTGACATGGGGGTGCCAAATTTTAGCTTCAGGGTCGACCTCCTCAGTCTGCTAAAACAGCGTGTACTCACGTATCTGCAATATTAGCAATGCCCTGGGGGGATTGTGTCTATATATTTGAAAAACAGAAACACAAACGAGAGTATACAAGCTTGTTGGGGCAGAAACCAAGCCAGCTTTGTAGCCCCAGTCTATTTGTCAGAAGCCACTTAGGAACTAGGAGCAGAGTCAGACTCGCCAAGGCTGGTTTCAAACTTCATCTTAAAATGTTACTTTTTGCTTCCCACGTTCCCAAACAACTAGGTCAACATTTGTTTTTCAGGAAGTAGTAATATTAAAATTAAAACCAGACTTTTGGGGCTGCTTGGCAGGAATCTGACATTGGCCAAGGACAAGGAAATGGGCTTCAGGCAGGAATCTGACATTAGGTTAGAAGAAAGTAATTTCAGGCAGGAATCTAAATCTTAGGCTAGAACAAAGAAGTAGGTTTCAGGCATGAAAATGACTTTGGGATAGGACAGGGAAGTAGGCTGACATTTTGGTCATCCTGATAAACCCTTAGAAACCGTGATCAGGGGAGTGATCCTGGGACTTTGTTTATTGCCTTGCTTGTGCTTTGACTATTTGTGTTTATTGTCTTGCTTATTCCTTGACTATTTGCACCAATTGTATTGCTAGTTCCTCAACCTAGAACTGACCTTAATACTTGTATGTAATTAAAATGGTATAAAAGAAAAAAATAAAAACAAAGCAAAAACCAAAAAACCCAAAAATCCAACTTTTTTAGAAAACAAATTATGGTGGGCAGTGGTGGCACACGGCTTTAATCCCAGCACTTGGGAGGCAGAGGCAGGTGGATTTCTGAGTTCTGGTCTACAGAGTGAGTTCTAGGAGAGCCAGGGCTACACAGAGAAACCCTGTCTCGAAGAACCTAAAAACAAAAAACAACAAAACCAAATTACAACCAGAAATAACTTGTAAGCCAAATGTTTCTGTCAAAGACTCAACTCTGTTAGATTTTGGCGCGAAGCTTAGAATAGACCACTCCAGACCAAAAGGTTCCATGAGGAGGAGGGGGTTTATTTAGGGTGGAGGGCAAAGGTGAGGAGAGAATCGGGAGGAAAGGTGGAGGGGAAAGAGAGCAAGGTCAGGGGGATTCTGCCTATTTATATGTAGCCTTTTCTCAGGTAAAGGTGAGGTAGGCAGGTGGATTTTGGGAGTGTATGGTGGTTGCCTTGGCAATGATGTAGGGACGCCTAGATGTGACGTCACTGAGTTTGGGGCTGATACCAACATTCCTCCCTTTTTCTTATTATAAAGAGAAGAAAAAAGGGGAGGGGAAGCCGATGATGAAACGGGAGTTGGGGCGCCGTGTCTCTTAAACTACTTCCTGCTGTGGAGGCGTGTAGTCCGTTGTGGGGAGCAGCTGGCTTTCACCATTGAGGTCCATTCGGTAAACACTGTGTGTATCAGGTTCCTCTGTGGACAGCGGCTGGTAATTCTGTAACAGGAACTGATTAATAAATTGGTTAGAAATAACACCAGGAGGATGACTAAAAAGGGTGTTACAAGAAAGTATCTGCTTTCATTTGGGTTTTTTAAAAATCTTAGAACTAGAGGTCTCATGTTCCCCCAAAATGGCATTCTTCTTGGAAGAACTGGCGAAGACCATCTTCTTTAGCTGTCAGGACATCTGGCACCCATCAGCTCTGAAGCACCACAGCTGGAATCCCACGGGTCTTGTATATAGAAACGAGCTTTTTGCAGTGTTGGTAGAAGAAATGGTTGGTCTGTGATCCTAGCATATGTATCTGACAAGGACAATATGGGCAGCCCCCATAATCATCTGGCCAGTTTCTACAATAGTCTATTATCCGGGCAAAGAGAAAGCAAGTATAGAGAACATAATATTTAGATGGAATAACAGATACAGAAATGATGGCAATTTGGATTGGTTCTTGGCATCCGGCTATGGAGCAGTTTCCTGACCCTGTTTGGAAAGACTGTTATCTGTGGGCGTCTCTTGAACCTCGAACCTCCAGATGTAAGGGCTGACCTGGATAGAAACAAACAGCAGGGGGAGGACAAGAAACACATGTCTAGTCCAGTGAGGTTGAGCTTGGCTGCCGGAGTGGATTCTCATTTTCTGGGATTGAGGACAAGGTGGGTGATTTCGACGTTCTCTGGAGCTTAATAGAGCACGGTCCTGTTAGGGTCGATGTGTATGAAGAAGAGTCGATTTTAGATGGAGGGATGAAAGGCTTGAGGTGAGACAAATGGACCCAATGAGGGAGTCCTTCAAGGTTAGCAGTTTGTAGGGGTCACAAGGATTACCTTAAAAGGGCCCTGCCATTTGGGAGAGAGAGGTGAGGGTTGATGATCTGGAGGGGAGAGAAGGACTTGGTCTCCAATGTTGACAGGCAGTGGACAGGAGACAGTATGTGGTTGAGGTAGAAGGCGGTCAGCAAAGCTCCACAAGAGAGAACGGAGGTGGCAAAGTAATGGGGTGAACAGATGATCTGGGAGGGGAGAACATTTAGGTGAAAGATCAGGAGTTAGAACTGGACGTCCATACATGAGTTCAAAGTGTGAAATGAAGAGAGGCCACTTGGGGAGAGCTTGTAGCCTGAAAAGAGCCAGAGGTAGGAGTTTTACCCAGTCAAGGTGAAGTTCCTGTGACAGCTTGACAAGAGTGGTTTTTAAAGAGCAGTTAGTTCTCTACCTTACCTAAAGATTGAGGGTTGTAGGGAATATTAAAATGCCAGGGGATGTCTAGGGCCTTAGATAGAATCTGAGAAACGTGGGAAGTAAATTCAGGATCATTGTCTGACTGAAGGGAGGCTGGGACACCAAATTGGGGGATGATCTCCCTGAGGAGGAGATCAAGACTGTCTGACTCCTTTTGTTAGTTGTGGGAAAAGCCTCTACCCAGCCTGAGAAGGTGTCCACCAAGACCAGGAGGTACTTGACACGTTTTACAGCAGGCATGTGGGTAAAGTCAAGTTGCCAGTCAGTTCCAGGAAGGGAACCTCTAGCCTGATGGGTACAGAAAGGGGTGCTACGATACCTTGAGTTGGGATCTGACATCTGACAGATTTTGCCAAGAAGCAGTGATAGATTTTAAGAAACTTAAGTCCTCAGGAGTAGGCTGTAGGTGGGTCTTAACAAAATAAGACAACGCTTAGCTGTTAGGATGAAAGAGTTGGTGAAGATAGGACAGAGTTTGACGAGTGTCAGGGGGTGCAGGTGGGGATGTGGGTTGCAGTGTGAGAATCTCCTTGGGAGGGTGAGATGAGTCTAGGCCCCTAAGGGCCTCGGCTCTAGCTGCTTCATCAGCTTGGTTGTTTCCCTTGGAGACAATAGAGTCATCCTTACGGTGGGATCCGCAGTGGACAATCCCAATAGCTGTGGGGAGATGGGAGGCCTTTAGCATGGCTATAATTTGGTTTGCATTAGTTACTTGTGGTAAGTAACCCATGCTCCTTCCAGATAGCAGCATGGGACAGGAGGATATAAAAACCATATTTGGAATCTGCGTAGATGTTGTCCCTGTGCCAGCTGGAAGGCACAGGTAAGGTCTATTAATTCAGCCTGTTGGTTGGTGGTATAAGCAGGAAGGGCCTGTGCCTCTACCACCTTGGTGTCTGACACTATGGCATAGCCAGCTTTCCTGACCCCTTCATGTAGAAAGGAGCTTCCATCTGTAAACCAGGTAAAGACGACTTAAGGCAATGTGCCCTCCTGTATGTGTGAAGGATGAGGTAATAGTTCCTCTAAGGTTTCAGTGCAGGAGTGAGATAGGGAGTAGTCAGTATTAGGTCAAGGAAGAAGATTGGAAATATTAAGATAAGGGCATGATTGGAAGGTGAGGGTGGAGTCTTCTATTAGAGCTACCTGAAGAGAAAGAACCCTGCAGGGAGGTAGAGTCTGTAAGCCTTTATAAGTTAGGAGCTGTGACAGGTTGTGAGAAGAGAGGACAGTTATAGGCGATCCCAGTGTTAGTATCTTTGATTCTTGAATAAGGAGTTCAGCAGCTGCTAAGGTACGAATACAAGGTGCCCATCCCTGGATGGGTAGATCCAGTCTTTTTGACAAATATACTATGGGTCATAAGATGGTCCCAGTTGGTGACCTAAGACTCCAAGGGCAAATCCCTCCTTTTCAGTTATGTAGAGGGAAAAAGGACGAGTCGGGTCTGGGAGATGTAAGGCTGGGGCCTTAAGGAGGGCCTGTTGGAGCCTTTGAAAGGGCTTAGTAACAGGTTTGAGAATAGGTTCATGGGTGGGGCCTAATGCTGTTTCATATAAGGGACAAGAAAGTAGGGAAAAGGAAGAAACCCAGGAACGCAAAAAGCTAGCCATTCCTAGGAATGATAAAATCTCTTCCTTTGTAGAAGAAACAGTTAGAGACTGAATCAGATTCTTTCTATCTAAGGTAATAGCCTTGTGGGTTGAGGTTATTTCTAGTCCTAAACAGGTGACCTGAGGAGTGGACAGTTGGACTTTAGAAGGTGAGACCCTGTAGTCCCGACTGGAAAGGAAATTTAGAAGAGCAGCTGTGTCAGCTTGGCTAATTTCTAGGGAGGGGCTACAGAGAAGAACATTTTCTATGTAAAGTACAGTCTTAGATCTAGGGAGAGATATAGAGATTAAGTCAGAAGCCAGGGCCTGCCCGAACAGATGTGGGCTGTCCCGGAATCCCTGAGGTAGAACAGTCCAGGTAAGTTGGGTAGAAAAGTGGGTGTCAGGATCTGTCCAGGTAAAGGCAAATATGTCCTGTGACTGGGTGTCTAGAGGGATAGTGAAAAATGCATCCTTGAGATCTAGGACTGAGAAATGAGAAGTCCCTGAGGGGATGGTAGAGAGAAGTGTATAAGGATGAGCTACGACAGGATGGAGGGGAACTATGGCAGAGTTAATGCATCTGAGGTCTTGAACCAGTCCATAGGTGCCATTAGGTTTCTTAACTGCCAGTATAGGGGTGCTAAATGGGGAAGAGGTAGGGCAAAGGAGTTTTTTCCTTAAGAGGTCAGCAATGATAGGCTTAAGTCCCCTGAGGCTCTGGAGAGAGAGAGGGTATTGAGCTTTGGGTGATGTACCTGGTAGAGTCCAGTAACTGGATGACAATGGGAGAATGATGTTTAGCAACAGAGGGTTCTGGACGTCCCAAACTCGGGGGTCCACATGAGAAGCTGGTAAGGGAAATAACATGTTAGTGTTAGTAGGTTGACTGGCTAAAAGGAGGAGCAGAGGAACTACTGGAGAGCTGGGGCTTAAGCGAATTGGTGGAGCAAAGAAAATAGAAGCTCCCAACTTAGCTAAAATATCTCTTCCTAATAAGGGGACAGGACATGTAGGCTCTACCAAAAAGGAAAGGGTGAGAGGCACACCCCTAAAGATGCAACTAAGTGGGGGGGTGGGGCTGGTGAGGAAGGTAAGGTTGTCCTCCTACCCCGACAATAGGAAACCGTGAAAGTGAGGTGGGTCCCCAAAACTCCGTCAGGACCGAGTAAGTGGCCCCAGTGTCCAAGAGGAAGGAGATGGGTCTTCCACGTACCATAATACCTACCTGGGACTCCCTGCTAGTGATAGGCATGGTCAGGTAGAGAGAGCTCGGGTCCCGTCAGTCCTCCATAGCCAAGCCTAGAAGGTCAGCTGAAGGGTTTTCTGGGAGTGATGTCCCTCTGTTCTGAGTGACATGAGGGCAATCGACACCCCAATGTCCCCTCTGATGGCACTTAGGACATGGTCTTCTTGGCTTGCTGGGGTTGGGGCAAGCCTTCACCCAGTGACCATGTTGACCACGTTTATAGCAGGAGCCAGGTGGTCTCTGAGCCTTCAAAGACCGGGAGTCTGGGGTAGTGGCTGAGGCTGGTCGGATAGCCTTTGCCAGCATGTGGTATTTCTGTTTTCAGGCTTTCTCATCTCTCTCATGGTACACTTTGAAGGCCAGCGCCAAGACTTCTGCCTGTGGAGTTAGGGGCCCCCTCTCCAATCGCCTAAGCTTAGCTTTTATGTTGGGGTAGCTCTGGCAAAAAAAGTAGGTCATAAGAAGTTGCTTACCTTCCGGGGTTTCAGGGTCCAGGTTAGTATACTGCAATAAAGCTTTTGTAAGGGGTTCTAAAAACTGAGATGGGTTTTCCTGTTTGTCTTGGACAATCTCTTGGAGTTTCTCAAAATTTACTGGCTTTAACACCGCCTTTCTCAGGCCTGCCAAAAGACATGTTATAAATCTATCTCTGGCTAAGATATCACCTTCAGAATTATAATTCTATCGAGGATCCTGGTCAGGAACTGCCTCAGATCCAATTGGATATGTTCCATCTGTTTGATGAATCTGATCTGCACGCATTTTTGCCTCTTCCCAAACTCGCCTACATTCATCAGGAAGCAAATTGTTAGTGAGAATCATATGAATATCATGGAAAGTCAAGCTATAGGACTGAGTGCTGTACTGGAACTCTTTGATGAAGGCAGAGGAGTTAGAGGTGTAGGAACAGGCAGAACACATAGAAGGAGTATAACGAAGGTAGGTAAATGCTCGAACATAAGGGATATCTTTCCATTTACCAGACTGCAGGCAGTATGTGTTAAGACCCCTTAAAATAATTGGGTCTAGCGTGCCATTAAGTGGCCACTTTAGTCCATTATCTAGAGGGTACTGAATCCAGACCTTATTGCAGAGGTGTATCAATTTGGAAGGCCTCAAATCAGGCGTTAATTTTAGAGATTTGAGGTTTTTTCAGTAGACAACCCTGTGGGGTGTCTGTGGGTACAGTGGAAGACAATATGTTGCCCATCGGGTGATGGGGGCTGTTACCAAGCTATTCGTCTTCGCCCTGAAAGAAAAGATGGCAACAAAAAAATCAGGCAAACAGCCTAGATATCAGGTTGTCACAAGAATATCTATGGGCCTCAGCGGGACTCCCAGAGCCCGCCAGAAAGGATTTCCGGCAGCTGCAAGAGCTTGGGGGGAACTAGGAACTACTTTCGAGGGGGGAAATCACTCAACAGCCAATGTCCTAAGTTGTAGGTCAGCTAGAGGCCTATGGACTGGGGCAACGAGAAGCCAACCCCTTAGCCCAGGGAAGGCTGGCAAGGCCCTAACTTGGCGTCCAGGGTCCCTTGCACCAATTGGAAGCTCCTTACCAATTAATACACCAGTGTGTGTTTGTGGGCTTGTGCAGTCTGGTATCAGGACAGGTGGAACCATGAGGTCTGTGTCCCTGTCTGGCTATCCAGCCCAAGCAGCCGAGCACCACGTGGGGGCCACAGCCGCACAGCTCACATGGTGGAAGTTTTATGAGCCTCACAGCTTCGGATGGGGGTTGCAGCAGCGGTGGAAGTGATGGCAGGTAGCAGTGGATGTTAATTCACATGCCAGGTGATGGTGGCAGAGGTGCGGTGGTGGCTGGAATGGCAGACCATGTGGTACAAGGTCAGCACCAGTGGCTGATGGGAGCTGCTAAGAATTCGGTCATGGCCCAAATGCACCAGTGTTAGATTTTGGCGCACAGCTTAGAACAGACCACTCCAGACCAAACGGTTCCACGAGGAGGAGGGGGTTTATTTGCGGTGGAGGGCAAAGGTGGAGAGAGAAACGGGAGGACTGGTGGAGGGGAAAGAGAGCAAGGTCAAGAGGTTTTGCCTATTTATATGGGCAGAGACGCAGCCTTTTCCCAGGAAAAGGTGAGGTAGCCAGGTGGATTCTTTGAGTGTATAGTGGTTGCCTTGGCAACGAGGTAGGGTCGCCTGGATGTGAGGGCACTGAGTTCGGGGCTGATAACAACAATATCTGTACATCGCCATTGTGGTTCTGAGGTTAGAAACCAACTTCATTACCCATAACTGTTCTGCAGACAAGGCTTAGTCCTCCCACACTCCAATGCGGTTACAATCCTCAAACACCAAGAACCATAGAAGTCACCTAATCTGGGTTCCAGGATTTCCTTC